TATCCAAATTAAACGGGAAGGTGTAAACCCAACAGTTTTTGCACAATATTGATATGGCTTTATTCTTCTGTAATCTTATTCTTAAACTGAAAGGACTACATATTTTCTACTATGCTTACAGTAAATGGATATTGCTGTTGCAGTGTAAGCATGCAGAAGCCAAACACAGAAATATTGGACACAGGTCTTCAGGAAGTAACAGGCCTTTATTCACATTACCGATCGGGTCTCAGATGAACTCCTGTTCCAAAGGATCTGAGAGACCAACACATAGTGTACATTCCTTATATAGCACTATAACTCCTCCCATTAATAGCTACACCCACATATACCTTTAACCAATCAATGAGCAGAATATAGACTTGTACATCTAGTCAAACCACATGGCTCATCCAAGACAAAGGAAATAAGTGCAATTTCAGTTCCTGCATTCCTGCACATGCTCAGTACACTGATGACAGTATCCTAGCTACATGTAGCTAACCAACTGACACAACATACACATATGCCACATGGAGATTTTGGCCTACTAAATTTTAACCATGCTGGAATCCCATCACATTCCCCCCTTTTGATGCCTCTGATATAACATTATTCCAGATGCATCACCAATCACAGTTTTACCTACATCTCTCAAGTAGCCATTGAACCAGAGTAGACCTTGTAAGCATCTTAAAAACTTCTTCAACATTCTTCATCCTGAATATATTCTCTTCGGGCTAGGGGATCATATCTTCCAGACAGCCATTACATGAGCCGCTGTCTTTCTCTCTAGTACTCTCTATAATACTATGTAGGGACCTTACCACTAGTGGAATTAGACAGGGCAGGAGGAGGCACAAAAAAATATAATAAATTCTACTCCTCCTACTAATGTCTTAATTCCTCCAAGCTGCTCATACCAACTTCCAAACCAACTACTTAGGTTATACCCATTCCAGACCTGAGTAGGTACATGCTCAAATTTAACCATGTGGCTTGTAAGTTCAGCCACTGCCTGCCCTTCATCATCTATGTGCAGACAACAGTTACTTAGATTAAACTTTCCGCATACACCTCCTTCTACTGCTAGTAAGTAATCAAGGGCTAGCCTATTCTGGTATATGGCTGATCACATCTTGGTATTTTGCTTAGCTAGAAGATTAAGCACTTGAGCTGTCTCATTAGTAATAATCTCAACTACCGCCCGTAGTCTAATAATGCGGTTTAGCATATATAATCGGAGTTCTATATCCATAAGTGCCATCTTCTGCCCAAGTAGCAGGTCCATAATAATTAATAATACGTTGAGGGGGCCACTCATTATCTTCCCAGCTACCTATATTCAAGGATGCTCTCTCCCTTTTATGATTTACATCGTAAACCTTAACTCCCAAGGTCTCTCCTGTTTCGATTGGCAACAAGAAGAAGGATGGCTTTGGCATACCTAATACACATGCCCCTTCCCAATCTTGTGGTAACTCCAAATAAGTTTTCTTACCACAAATCCAGTATAAATTTGCTGGGGCTTTCCAACTAGATGTAGCCGATAAGTCAAACCATACCTCCTTTAAATGAGTGTAATTGGCAAACGGATTAGTAGGTTCCGAGACATTTGAAGCTGACCACCAAGTAGTATTTTTAGTATTAACATTATAGGCTTTTTGTCCCAAGCAAGTTAGCTCACCTACAGACGTGTTATACATTGTCCCTTTCCTGGCTATACAAACATGACCTATAATGGAGGTTTTTAACCACCATTCCAATTTACTTCTAGTACTTACTTGATGATCAGACTGGAAAGGTATCTGTTGTTCATATGTCTCAGAGCCAGGGTACCATATTTCCTTTGCCTCCCATGGCCACTGGTCTCCCATATTAGTACCTCCACACACATAGCAATTAGTTACATTAAGACTACCTGCAATACCCTCAGCCAAATCAATAAATAGGTTGTTAACATTATGGGGAATTTTATCCTCAATACTCATCTCCTCATAGAAGGAATGAGAAACCTGATGAGTTTGAGTTGCCACTGTCTCAGTTTCAAGACCTACATATATTATTGTTCCTGAATCTACTCCTGTGCCATATATTTGAACCCAAACAGACCTCCAAACCTGTCAATAAAGTACTGCAGATTGGAAATGGTCATGTGAACGGGGTTACACACATAGTTTTACAGTATGGTGTGGTAGGCAACCTTTGGATAATCATATCTTGATCCACTGTTTTTCCCAGGTTGCCCAACCTACACATGACAAATAGGGGCAGAAGTTAGTCTCTATTTGGGCAATCAGGATCAGTAGATCTTTTACTGGGACATAAATATTTATCATTAAACCCATAAGTTCGTTCCCATTTAAGATTACCACATACATTCCAAAGTCTTCCACTACCCGAAATCGCCTTACATGCATCAAATAGTAGAATACCCGTGGAATGTATGGTGCTTATCACAGTCCTATTTATTAATGTCCCCTGGGAGTTACTATTCCGAATTACCAACCAAATTGTACGGGGTTGGAAATGGGGATCAAAACATTTAGACTCTCCTGATATTGGCTTGCACACACTATAATCAATATCCAAATATCTACATTTAGATACAGATCCCTTACATTCATACTGTGAGTGCCAGATGAGAGTTTGGGATATTTGGTTACCTGTTTTAGTAGTCTTAATGCAACTATCGCAATTCGGTATGTCTGTACTCCTACCTTCCTGAAAAATCATAAAAATACTAAGACACAATAAAACACATTATTCCTGAAATCCTCATTTTTCTTCGACCGTGCGATGGCCTCTCAGCTTCCCGATTGTGAGGGCTGCAAGGATGTTGTTCTTCTGATCCTCACTTTCCTTCACAGAGATCCCTTCAAGATACTCTGGCTATGACACGTAGGCAGGTGGTCAGGCTTTATTATGGCCGTCAAAACACCTACTTGATGATCTTTGTAGACTTTTAATTAGAATGTCTCGATATACCCTCGTCACTCCGACTGAGTTGCACGCTTCAACCGGGTCCTGCAAGGATTCTCAGGATCTGGAGTAGCTTGCCAAGAGTCTGCTGCTGGTTTAACCTTAGAATGATGAATCCAAGGAGTCACTTCCGCCACCTTTACAGCTGTTGGGGTAGATAAAAGAACAACATACAAAGGCTAACAGGATACACCCAGAGCTTTAACTCAATATGTATTGGTGGGATATTACGAGCAAGTCCTGGAGGATTATTTTCTTCCCATACTCCTGGAATGTCAAATAAGGATTCATCACTCTTAGAGTTAACACTTGTCACTATGGAATAGAAGCGTCATTCTTCTTCCCTCGGCACCGATATCGCCATTATGCCTGGTAATCCCTTAAACTTCAGAGATGTTAATCCATTAGGTAAAAGGTTATCTGAGCTTAAAGCTTCGATAATAGATCTCATCCTAAAAGTTGAATCGGACACTCTGGCATATATAGGAACTAATGCTTCACCACATGGCCTCCCAGAATACAAGTGCGACTCTTAAGAACCGGTCTAGCTGCAATTCTCCCAGTAGCTCCTATCACAGTTATAGTCTTCCCCGAAGGCAGAGCCACCATCTTAGTCACCACAGAATGTTCAGCACCTGTGTCGATCATGAAAGAACTTCTCTTTCCCCCTATTGCTACATCGACCATAGGCTCCTCTCGACCAAGTGGGATGGAGCCCAGTCGGTATCAATAGTCTTCCATGATAGTGTCAGCCAGACCCACAAAATCTCTATCCTCTCTTTCTCTAGGTCTCTGCATGGGTGGATAGTATCTGTCTCCGTGAACACTTCCTCTACTATTCCCACCATTCCCTCTAAAACTTCCTCTTACTCTATAACTACCACTATAACCTCCTCATACCCTTCTCTCTCCTTGTCTATCACCTTCATACTGCTCTCTCTGTGGACACTCACTCTTCCAATGTCCCTCCTTTCTACAATACGCACATTAATTCCTACTTAAAGGTCCCTTGCTCAGCCTATTCTCGTCTCCTCTATTCACTTCCCTGTCTTTCTACACTTAAGATAGCTACCGCTAGCATATCTTCCTTTTTCCTCATTTTACGTTCTTCCTCCGTCTCCCTATTCATATATACTGTATTTGCAATCTCCATTAGCTGTATTATGGACATCCCTACAAATCCCTCTAATTTCTGTAATTTCCTTTTACTATCACCTTGGGCCTGGCTGACAAATGCTGAGTCTATCATTCGGAAGTTTTCAGGATTGAAAGGAGTGTACAATCTATTTGACTCAAGCAGTGTCTAATATGGGACTTCGGCAAGGCTGCCCAATAATAGGTTCCAGTCTAGGAGTAGTAAGATAATTTTATTAGTCAGCATTTGGTGGATGAAAAAACGTTTTGTTTTTTTTTAAAGTGTTAAACCAAAAACCTACCAGTAGGTGTCACCAGAGGGTAATTGTATCAAAATAATCTTTATGGGTCTAATAAGAAAACTCAACTTTTAATATATTTATACATAAAATAAAACCTTATAACAATAAATATATTAAAATAGGGTAAGCAATCCTACATCTATCTGTTATAAACAATGTATTATCAATGTAACTCCCGAAGATGGCCAGTAGGTGGCTTAGAGTGCCTCCCTAAAGTCAAATGAAACAAATAGACTTTAATTAATTATGTCCTATTTTATTATTACTTATTTTAATCAATGTCCACCCTGATAACTAGGCTTGATTAAATCTTTAGTTCTAAGGTAAATTAAACATTTCAGTTTGTAGTTTAGTAAAAGGGGACATTTTGGACAAAGCTGGGAGGGGCCCATCCAGTAACTAAAAAACCAATATACCATCTGATACCATTGATCATTGATTAGGGGGAGGGGTAGTACAGAAATACAAGAGTTTGAAACACAGGAACAGATAGGTATGTGGGTAGGCGGGGACAGTAGAGCAGGGGGAGTGCAAATACTGACTATATACCAGTTTTGGGAGTAAGAAATGGGCGTGGCTACTCTGGCTCTGGAGGATGTTTGGGGGGTTGGTAATCAGATGCCAGGGGGGAGGGGATGTCCAAAGCAGTTGTAATTAAGTCCTTAGTTCTGACCACCATATGGCTACATTGTTTCCCATATGACACAGTTTAATTCACCAAGGCAATTCCTCAACAATCAGTTTCCAACAGTCAATTTATAGAAACTGATCATAGAATTCCAGCCTACTAGTTACAGCCACATGTACACCCTGCACTAAATTTAAGTGAAGACTGCTACATGGAGGCCATGCGGCCACCAGGACAAGCTACTCCCTACTTTTTTTTTTTTTTTTAAACATACAAGACAAAGCCTTGTGAATCAGAAGATTATTTCAACAGAGCATCTGATTCAAAAAGCTGTACAAATATACACAGTTTCAACAGTCACACCAATCTCCTTATCACCAGCAACACATTGCGCAGTCACTAGGCCCAAACACACACACAGGATCCTCACATGCTCAACAATATCACGACGTCGCACACACGAAATTAAATCAAAAACCCACCAAAGACTATACACTCATCAATGTAACTATTATTCAAACCATACAACTATCCACGCTATTAATCCATATAAACTAACCGATCACATAACATTTCAACAGATTTCATCTCTACAATTATCCGTACTATAAATCAACTCTTGACTAACCAACTATATCACATTCTAGTAACCTCATCTTTACAGTCAGTGGTTATGGTACAGTTAGTAAGTGGTTATAATACATTTTTAAAGTCACAGATCAGTTAGTAACAGTTATGGTATTATACATATAACATAAAACAGCAATTGTTAGTAATTTTACACAATGTCAGTGGTTATGGTACATGTCAGTAGTTATGGTACCGTGCGCTATTTTACAGTTATACACACAATTTACACTCCCACTAGACAGCAGAGCTCTAACTTTCTAGTAGGACAAGTTAACCAATTCACCAACTACAATATATTTAACAACATTTACAATAATCCCAACTATTCTAACTGGCCAGCACCTCGAGAGCTTTCGATCTATTTATACACCAGAGATTCGATAAGTTCTTCGCTGCCCAGACACCATGTATAGCGAACTAGAGGGCAGAATTTACACAGTACCCAGCTAGTCTATTAAACTATCAATAAGCTAGTGGCTGGATTTACAACAGAGCACACTTAGTTAAGATAGGGTGAAATCTAGCAAACTATAATATACAACAGAGTATGCTAGTCTCCCCGTCCCCCCGACCTAGCGAACAAAATTTACACCCTAGATACGCTAGTCAAGACAGGACACCGGTGTCCGACATGAGCTATTTACACCAGAACTCAGTCTGACCCAAACCACCTATATTAGACGGGCTGACTACAGAGCGTCTAATTTCCAGATAAGTGTTGCGCTTTTCACTTCTTCCATCCATAAGGACAGGGCAGATTCCAATAACCGGTTCCAAATATAAAACCCCTTGTGGGTCTACCGCTCTAACGGTATCAATCTCACCTGTTAATTACTGAACCTGGGTTCACTCATAGACGGAACAATCCGGGACTCACTGCGCAGAAGCCGATGATCTCCTGGACAAAAGGCCAGTGGCGCCGAGACGAAAGGAGGTCCACGCAGTAGAAGTCCAGGATTGTAGCGTAGAAGGTTTGGTAAAGGTTTACCGTCTCAAATCTCTGTGCCAGCTTCCGTGCGATGAGGTTCCCGGCCCAATTGCACCAGAAATGTTGCAGTGTAAGCATGCAGAAGCCAAACACAGAAATATTGGACACAGGTCTTCAGGAAGTAACAGGCCTTTATTCACATTACCGATCGGGTCTCAGATGAACTCCTGTTCCAAAGGATCTGAGAGACCAACACATAGTGTACATTCCTTATATAGCACTATAACTCCTCCCATTAATAGCTACACCTACATATACCTTTAACCAATCAATGAGCAGAATATAGACTTGTACATCTAGTCAAACCACATGGCTCATCCAAGACAAAGGAAATAAGTGCAATTTCAGTTCCTGCATTCCTGCACATGCTCAGTACACTGATGACAGTATCCTAGCTACATGTAGCTAACCAACTGACACAACATACACATATGCCACATGGAGATTTTGGCCTACTAAATTTTAACCATGCTGGAATCCCATCACATTGCTTTTCTCTCAATTTTCTGTAAATATTATTAACCCCTCTGATGTCCAATGTGTACATGCTGAATATTATGAAGCGTGAATTATTATAACCCATGTTAATATAGAACATCTGCAGCATCCAATCCTTTTAGTTTTTTTTTTGTTTTGTTTTTGTTCTTTCCTCTGGACAGTACGGTTAGCTGGTGTAGGTTTTATTTTCTATTTTCGTTTGCTTTCCCCCTTTATATGCGAAGTAAAGATAATAATATTATAAAACAAATCTCCGCCCGCAATGCCTCTCTACACAACTACACTGTCTCCCTCAATCCAGTCTTTGCATGTGGGAATTTAAATTGTGCAGGGGGATTTTTCGTTTTGGCTGGGCCGCGCCTGCCCACCATGCAGCTTCGTTATTTTTCCCGGTCGGACCTTTAAGTTTTTCGCTACCAAGCGCACGTTTCTGGCCTTTTTTTGACCTCCGTGGTTTCTACACGCGTTTGCACATTCTTTTTCCTACTTGCATACTCCATACAGCCTGTCCGCCTCCGTCGGGGTCGCTCTGCCCTCCAGTTACGGTCGGCCCTACAATTCTTCCTCGTTTTTCTTTTTTTTTTTCTCAATTGCACAGTAAGTCCACTCTCTCACTCATTACCCCCCTCCCCCCCCTTTTAATTAGATGTTGCTGGCGGTCAGGGTCCTAGGTGTCCACTAGTTGTAATTCCCCCTGGCTTCTTCGCCTTAGGTTAGTGGCCCCGTGAGGCCAACACCCATCCTCATGCTCGGAGGTATTACGCCCCTCGGGCCAAATCATAGTTAGTCGCCTCGCATTGTGGCATAGGGAGGGCCTCACCTGTCACTCCCATTCTATCTTATGTTTAGCTGTCACCGAGAGGCCGACACCCCGCCACAACGTTTCTGTGGCCACGTTCTCCCCTCGCGCCAACTCATAGATAGAGCCTCTCACGCCGCTTGGCATCCAGCAGGGCCTCACCTGTCACCAAACCTGGTTTTAATTGTTTCGCCTTTTGGCTTAGCTAGTATGCCAGCACTCCCACGCATGCATACACACTTGCACTGGGTCTCGTGACCCCCTGGGGACACCAACATGTTGCCTACTGCCAGGCTTGCTCCATCACCCTGTCCACCTGGCTTCTGACGTGCTTACTCTGCCTTCGGTTATGGACTGTCCTGCAGTATTTCCTCGTTCTCCCTCATGTTTTTTTCGATACACGTTTCAGCACATCCTTCCTCTTTCACACTACCTTCCCTCCCCTCTTAGTTAGCTGTGGCTGGCTGTCAGGATCCTAGGGTCCACTAGTTTGTAATTCCATCCCCCCTGGCCTTTTCACCTTAGGTTAGTGGTCCCACGAGGCCAACACCCATCCTCATACTCGGAGGTACTACGCCCCTCGGGCCAAAACATAGTTAGTCGCCTCGCATTGTGGCATAGGGAGGGCCTCACCTGTCACTTCCATTCTATCTTATGTTACCTATCATCGAGAGGCCAACACCCCGCCACAACGTTCAGTGGCCACGTTATCCCCTCGTGCCAACTCATAGATAGAGCCTCTCACGCCACTTGGCATCTAGCAGGGCCTCACCTGTCACCAAACCTAGTTTTTAATTGCTTCGCCTTTTGGTATTAGCTAGTATGCCAGCACACATACACATACACATACTCACACTCACACACAGTAACGCATTGGGTCGCTTATGCGCTGCCTATTCGTTTTTTTTTTTTTTTGCTTTGCTGTGGTTCTCGAGTCCCTGCTACGCGGCTGCCTTTCGGACAGCTGAACTCTCAGTCCGGACTCCACAGGTAACGCTGTTGCTGGTGGGGGTCCCCGAGTTTGCTCTTACTTCTCCGTTTTCGCCACCTGGTTGTCTTCGCTGCTGTCGTCTATGGGACGATGTCGGATGACAGTTTGGGGTAACTGGCATCTGCCGCTTTGGCTGGTTCCGATCCAGGCTCCCAGCACCTTTCGGGGGCCCGACCATGGGC